CTCCCTGGCCATCAGTGTCTCAATGGAAATGGAAATGCCTGTGGGCCACAAGAGTTGGGCAATTCTGAGGAGGGACTGTGTGCCAGGTGGTCTTGTGGAGAATGTTCTGCTGCCATACCTGCTTGTGGTTTGTGTTGTGGAAGGATTGTGGGTTTTGTAGTTGGCTCCTGGCAGGAATGGAGACATTTCCATGCTTCCAGGCTTTGATAAATGATTATTGAAGAAGAGARCAGCTCAGCTAAAATGTTTTTCTCTGTAGGGCTTTAAGTGCAGTGCTTTGAAAGGAGAGTCTTCTGGTGGGTGGATGGGAAGGGTCAAGATTCACCATTTGTTCTTCCAGATGGGAAATGCTGAAACTGCCACAGTGGATTCTGCAGTTCTGACACTGTGGTGTCATAGAGCAGAGCTGCTTTTATTGCCTAAATTATGTGGATTTAAAAGCAAATGTGGATTTGCTTTTAAATCTGTTACCTAATCTGTGGGCTGGGCTAAAAGATATTTCTCTTCGTAAGAACTTTTTTTTTCCCATAGCTGTAAAATAAAAAATAATTGTTTGTTCATYTGAAAATGGGTAAAAATGTTGTTCAGTTCTTGACCCTCCTAAGSAGAGTAACTATGAGAACATCCTTTGTCTGTGTGTTGCCTTTCATGCTCATAATGATGGCTTTTGAAAGTTTTCAGTTATAGCAAATCAAAGTCCACTTACTCAGAGTGAACATGACAAATGATGGGGAATTGCATATATTTTCCCCTGACCTTATTATAACGTAAGCTCTCAAAGGCTTCTGTGGAAGAATTAAATCATAAGCCTCCAGATTCTTTTTTTTTCTTCACAAATGGGTAGGTTTGCTGAGGCAGTTCAGTCTCTGCAGGARCAGCTGAAATCAGATTTACCCATGCAACAGTGTGTATTGGCATTGGAGYTGGACCACCAACATCTTTCTTAACAGAAACGCTAGGAACAAAATAGATTTCAGGCCAAGAATTGACTTTGAAAAGAGGAAAGTGATCATTATTTGTTGTAGACTGTAGCTTGGGTTTGAAAACATTTCTTTTATGGTCAGTTTTAGTTAATGCAGGTTGCTGAAGAAAGAAAATATCTCCCTCACAAAGGAACACATGGGAAATAATAAGCTTATTAATTGAATGCATRAAACCTGCTCTCCTTTTCATGAAAGAAGGGCCTATGCTATGCTGAATAAAACTTTCCCCTTTGCATGCTGATGTGTTCTCCACCAATTGCTGTTGCTGCTTCATTAGGAAACCCAGCATTTGAAGCTGCATTCTGGCAGCACAGCTCCTTTTGCTCACCAGACTTGGCCAGAGGAGTGAAAGGGCCAGCACTTGTTCACGAGGAAGAAACGAAGCATCTGAAAAACTGAAATTCTCTTAAGCTGGAGCAATTTTTCACAGGAGTGTTTTAGGGTGGACCTTTTATTTGTTGCAATGGTGCAATGTAACAAATTACGTTTTCCAGCTTTGCTGTATTTGACCCAAGTATGGATCCAAATCCACTGAAGTTGTGTAAGCAAATACCTCTTTCACTTTCCCAAAGTGTTGCTGCTTAACTGTAGACTTTATGAACGTTTTTCATTCATTTCAGGTGCGTAGCATCYAGAATTCACTTTGTGGCAAATGTTAAGTAGATACTCTGAAAATTACATTACTGTTGCAATATATTCTTCTTTTTCTTTTAAACACTGCAGTCATAGTCTAGTTCTTATTTCTGGTTGTTCTGACATGGCTGTAAATGGAGCTGCACTGTGCTCATCCTGCACCACTGGCAACGGAAGCAAAATTCCCTTCCAAACAGGAGGGTGTATGTGGGGGTGTTGGGACAAAGAGAACTTTGTGTTTATAAACAAATAAACTGGGAAAAGCATATTTTAGTCAGTGACCAAACAGAATAAATAACAAAATAAATAGATTTCCTGAAAAAAAAATTTGTTAAAAAAAAAAAAGGAGAAATGAAAATGTTCTGGACTTTGCTGGGAAATAAATTTTGTGCCATGCTTTGGGATTTGGATTATAAGTTGTTTCACTTGATCCAAGCCAAGTGTGTTTCCTCAGAAGTCTGTGAACTGGAGCACTCGGCTGGGCTCTTAGGATGCACCTGAGGTCCCAAATGGAACCAGCACCTTCCATTCCTTTCCAGGAGAGCTGTGGCGCTGGTCAGAGCCCTGTCGGGATGTGTTGGCCTGGGCTGGGGTCAGAGTGCCCAGCCAGCTCAAGGGCTTGGGCTCAGCTCAGGTCCACGAGCTGGGCTCAGCTCCCCCTTGGCTCAGGGAATGACTCTGCCCAGGCTCTGCATGCTGGGGACGTGTGACCTGTGCTGTTCTCAAGCTGTTGTGAAGAACCTCTTGGAGAAGAATGCAGATTTCTTCCCTGTATCTGCTCGGTTGTCTGCATGTTCAGAGCCTGAGCTGAGTTTCTGTGCCTACATGTGCTGTACTAACAGGGGCCATAGCCAGCTCTTTTATTTCACAGATACAGCCCTTGCTGGTAATTGTCATTTTGTCACAGCTCTTGCTGGTAATTCTCATTTTGTCACCCTGATATTGCCCCAGTCCTGTTTTCCTGAGCGAGTAAAGGCTTCTGTGCCCATATTGATCAGTGCATTGGGTCCCTCCACCCCGGTCCAGATTGTAAATCCATCCTAGGCAYTTTCATGAAGCCCAGACAGCTCTGATGATTTCTGGGCATGGCTGTGCTTTCTGCTGAGAATCCTTTARCGTGAAGGCTGAAGAAATGTGGATTAGGATCTTAGCGTTGAAAGTACTGTCAATCTCCAGCTCCTATAGCCACTGAGAAGGGCCATCACTATTTTTAAAATATTCTATACAAATTAACTGTGCAGTGCTCACAATTGGGATTTTGATGAAGCTTTCAATCCATTGCTGGATGTCTCGTGTGGAAGGCAGGCTGAGACAAAGGCTTGCTTGTTGCAGCGWGCCAAAGGAGCCCGGTGTGGTGCGGGGATGGGAAGGGGACCGGGATGAGCAGGAGGACTTCAGGAAATGAAAACAAAAACAAAGCAGCGGCGTACGGTAAGAGGCACGGAGGAAAGAGCAGTGGTGCAGCTTTTGAAAGCGCGGGGAGGAGCTCTGCTGGCAGCTCGTGGAGAAGTTGTCACCTTCCCTGCTCTCTGTGTCTGTGTCAGGGCACTGTGTCAGCTCGCTGCTGCACTTGGGGTCACTGTGACTCCTTCCACAGCGCTGGAATCCCTGCAAGCGCTCAAAAAGCRTGGTGCTCAGGGATGTGGGTGAGTGGTGGGSTGGGCAGTGCTGGGATCATGGCTGGACTCGATCTTGGAAGCCTCTCCYCACCTTAGTGATTCCGTGATTCCCRTGCCATCGTTTTTTGGTCCTCCTTAACCYGCCAGGATGGACTGAGCAGGCTGGAGCAGAGCAGCGAGAGGGCCAGGTGGCATYGCTGTCTGGGGCATTTAGGATTTCCCTTCTGTGCTGGAGTAAAGCAGGAACAGTGCCCTGGCAGTCAGCAGGCTGGCACGAGCTGAAAAGCAGCGTGATTGCTGGCTGTGTCTGTAATCCTGCTCCTGCTTCCTTCCAGCTCCCTGTGGGAACTTTACCAGAGGAAAAGGACTGGCAAAATCGGCCAGTGTGATAGTTACTGGTTAACAGTCCTGGAAATCTTCTGACTTTAGTAATGTCTTTAAAAGTAGTGTTAGTTCCTGCTGTTCCACTTTGTCYGTAAGCACGTGAAATGGCTGAGTTTATTACTAAGGAGTCTCTGATACTCCTAGAAACGCGCTTCTCCGTTGAGTCAGGAGGATGTACGTGCTCTAAATCTGCCGTAGATCTGCTTTGGATCAGGGGAGGGAGGTTAACAGAGCCGTATCTTCACCGAGCAGCTGAAAGTGAAGCGAAACAGTCCCTGCRTGGCTGCAGCAGCTCGTGATTTACAGGGCTGGATCCGCAGGGCTGCTGCTGCTGCCGAGAGAGAGCACACGCTCTCCTCCGCTGTTGATTTTTGAATTAAAAAAATGCAGCTCTGTACACAGTTTACTCCAGTGCTAGAGGGCAGGGAAATATAGGTAAGAGCCGTTAATCCCCAGCAGGCTGCTGGGCAGGCAAACAGACACAGATGACAAAATTTAATTGGAAACATGAGCAGTTTAACAGAAAGCATATTTGTGATAATTGAGAGAGTAACATCTCCAAAAAGGAAACTCTGCAAAGAGAAACCRGCTCAGAGGAGAAGTGGCCACTGGTAGGTGAGTGTGATTTTTCAAGCTCTCTTTAAGCTCGGAACTAATTTCTTAATGAGAACAAATAAYATTAGGAGGAACTAACTAAAGAAAAGATTTGTTTTCTCTGTGGGGGGAGGGCTGTAYGGTTGCTGCCACAAGTTTCTCTTACAGCTGAGTTAGGATGTGTGGTAATACTTAATTGAGGTTCTTTGCAAAAGGTTAGAATTGGTTTTATTTTTGTACAGAGTTATCTTCTACCTTTGCATGTGAAGATCTCACCACCCCCACCCCCAATAACTGAAAGGACTTCAGTTTTACTTTTTTCCTTACTCCTGCATTTTTTTTATAAGTTTGAGGTTTTTCTAAGAATCGAACTTGGACAGCGAGTATTTTGCCAAAAGCAGAGGGAACCCTTAGTTATAAAATAGYGCTGTGTTTTTGCTAATGAAAAAGTATTGTGGACTTAATAAGGGAGAGCACATTGCAGAACACATTTTGGTTTGAATTGGAAGAGATTCCTTTTCTCCCTTCTTTTTCTTGAACAGCAAGTAAATGTAAATTATACAGTAGAAGCTCCTTGCTGTTCTGCTGGGTAGAAAAAGAAAACCGGCTTTTATTTTCCCTCAATTTCACTGATGTTGAAAATACTGCTGTGTCTTTTTAACGTTACTGGCGTGGAATTCTTGATGTTCCATTGCAGAAAGAATCCCACGCTAGCTCTAACACCAGGTACCACCAAGGCCGTTTTTTCGGGGTCATTTTCTGTGGTTTTTTTTTTTTTTTTTGCCAGAGCCTGCAGACAGCGCAGCCTCCCAGCCCACAGGAATGAATGAAAATGTCTCATCGCCGTCTCCGGGCTGCGGYGGTGCCGCTCCTTGCGGTAACTCCTCGGCCATCCCTCAGCCCAGCTCTGCCATCAARCCCTGGCGCAGCAAGTCCCTGAGCGCCAAGCACACGGCCACCTCTGCCATGCTGTCCGTGAAGGCACCGGCAGCCGAGCCCCCAAAGCCGCCCCCAGAAATGGCCAAARCCACCCCCAACGGGCAGAAATCCATGCTGGAAAAGCTGAAACTCTTCAACAGCAAAGGGGGCTCCAAAACGGAAGGCCCCAGGTCCCGGGATAACAGCTGTGAGAAGCTGGAGGCTCTGCTCAGCCTGGAGGAGAGCGAGGAGATCGAAGGCACCGCCCTGAACGTCAACAACCCGGGCTCCATGTCCAACAGCCCCAAAATCGCCCTCAAGGGCATCGCACAGAGGACGTTCAGCCGCGCGCTGACCAACAAGAAAAGCTCTCCGAAGRGTAACGAGAAGGAGAAAGAGAAGCAAAAGGAGAAGGAAAAGGATAAAAGTAAAGACCTTACGAAGAGAACCTCYATCACCGAGAAGCTGGACCTGAGGGAGGAACCTAGAGAAGAACAGACGGCGCTGACGGCGACAGCAGAGATGCCAAAAAAGTCCTCCAAGATCGCGAGCTTTATCCCCAAGGGAGGGAAGCTGAACAGCGCCAAGAAGGATGCCTCRGCCCCTTCGCACAGCGGAATACCAAAACCAGGAATGAAGAACACCGCGGGCAAACCCTCGAGTGCCCCCGCCGCCACCAAGGAKGGCGAGCGCGGCCGCGGAGGGAAGGCCGGCGCGGGGCTGTCACACCACAAATCGCAGCTGGAGAGCCGCCACTCCAGCTCCTCGTCCAGCCTGGCCTCCTCCGAGGGCAAGGGMGCCGGGGCCCCGGCCGTGAGCACCCACAGCACGGGCAGCAACACGGTGAGCGTGCAGCTGCCGCAGCCCCAGGCGCAGTACAGCCACCCCAACACCGCCACCGTCGCGCCCTTCATGTACAGGTACGGGGCATGTGGGGGGAGTGGGTGTGGGCTGTCCCTTCTGGACATCCTTCAGCTGGGTGAATGCCATGTCATCTCTTAAAATCTCTTAAAAGGCTCTCTTCAAAGAATCTCTTAAAAGAATCTCTTGAAAGATCATTGCTTTAAGAGAGCTGGCAGTTGACGCGTTTGGACAAAAACTGTGGTGGAAGCTGCCAGACTAAGGCGTGAGAAGTTGTGCTAGCCTGGGAGGGGATTTATTGTTATATCCGACCCTGCCAGAGGTGGGACCCTGCTCAGGTGACACTCTGAGCACCTCTTTGAGCAGGTGCTGCCCTTCCAAAGGGTGCAGGAACATGTGTGGGGTTTGTTTGAGGCTTTGGAAGCTGTGATAAGGCCAAGACACACTCGTGGTGTTCGTTGTGGGTGACACACGTGGAGCTGCCTCACCACAAACAGGAATCGGGAATTAAAAAGAAAAAATAATGAAAAATCCTTTAGTTTAGGTGAGGCCAGACAAGAAGTCCTGTGTTGTTCTGTGTGTTAAAAACAAAAGGGCAGCCAAATGAGGTCGCAGCTAACCTCGGTTGGGCCCATTTTCTGTTTGAAGCACCTTTTGTTGGGCAGGTGCAGTAGGGGATGCATGGGGAAGTGTAATGAGAGAGAAAACGACAGCAAAGGTTCCCAAAGACGTGCTCCCCAAGAAGCTCCTCAGCCCCAGGGTGGGACTGAGCTGTCCWGTAGGATTAAGGATGGCAAAYCAGATAGATTTATATTTWAAAAAAAWKGATTTATTCTGGTCATGATTAGACTGAAAGTTCTCAGTCAGAATTGTTTGCTACACAGTCAAGGCAGCTGTAACTACTGGTGTAGTGTAATGCACTATTTCTGAAACAATGCTGAAGGTACCGTATTAAATTGATATTAAAAGCAATTATTCAGCAGAGGTTGGTGTCACTCACCCATACCAATGACTGTGGGCAGATCTCTTTTGCTCACCCTCCAGGATGTCCCTGCTCAGGGGAGGAATCTGCACACACTGCAGGGAGGGATGTGTTAGAAGAGCCTGCCAGCAGAAAGTGGGATTGGGTTTTTGTAGGATGGAGGGATTGCCCGTCAGGCAGTGTCTCCTGGCCAGCTGGGTCAGCTCAGCAGCCTCAGTGGGGTCACTGCTGGTTCCTTTATCAGGTGCTTCACCAGCTCTGCCCCATCCCCACCTCCCTGTCAGGAGGATCCTCTTTGGGATTGATGTGTCAGGCTGGTTCCAGATTATCCAGCACYAAAAGCAGCCTGAGACCCCTTGTCCTTTGGAAATAGGGCATTGTTCCAGCTGGTTCACCCCTGCTCCAGGCAGAGCATCCTGCTGCAAGGGTCAGGTGAAATTAAGAGTATTGCAATAATAATTCCCAACTGTGTCTTCCCTTTTTCACAGCCCTTGCCCTTGGGTCAGAAGTGCTTCCTGGCTCTGTGAGCAAAACACAGCATAGTCAGGAAAGTGAAATGAATCGCAATATATAACTGAAATCTGATAGATCCATAGATCCCTACAACATTATCTTTCATTACCATAATATCAGGCAAGGAATTGGAGTTTGAAGTTGGTTTTGCTCAGTCATTTCTTTTAAAATACAAAAGYTGATTATTGAATGGAAAGCAGCARGAGTGTAACATGCCATCACACTCTRCCTTCTTTATCTTCATGCAATACAGGCTTTGTTGGAGAGGATCAGATTAGCCCCAACAACTGATATTATTGATAATTTAAGATCTGGAAATCCAAGTGTCTTAAGGCCCCATCTGATGAGCTGTGAAGCCTATCTTRGACTATGAATTTTTTATTTTTTACAGCTGAGTGCTTGTTTCCATTTCTAGGACATAATTCAACATGGGACTAATGAATTATGTAAAATCAGTGTGTGGTGTGTTGTGGAGAGTGGGACAGAGTGGCTGATGGCAGGTGCACGCCTTGTTGTTGTACTCCAGCCACTTTGGATRGAGGGAGGCTGCACTTCTGGGTTTGTTTTTCCTTCCAGATCTCARACAGACAATGAGGGGAACGTAACAGCCGAGGCCAGCACGGGAGGGCTCAGCATGGACTCTGCTCTCTATGTCAAAACTGCCCAGCCTGCCCTGGAGGACCTCTCAGGTATGTCCTGCAGCACGACCTTGTGAAATAAGAATGAGCTAGAGCAGGTTGGGTTTATTCCTAATGCTTCAGTTCTTAATCATTACATTCCTTTCAGCTCTTCAGCAATGAAAACAAGGTGTCAGTAATTGGAACTCGAGATACTTGAGTTCAGCACCATGGTGTGCTCCCCAAATTTCTTGAAATCATTAGGAATTCTGCCTGCTTCATGTTTTTCAAGGAGACATCGGTTTTTTTTTAGGATTAAGCTATTAGAAGGATCCTAAGTATCCTCAAGCATTTCATATGTATTGTTGACTTTTAAAACATTTGTTTCGGAGCTTAGAGAAGATATTAAGTTTATTTCCTTGGTGTTTGAGTTTGGAGGAATTTCAGTATCACTTACATGAATCTGATAAATTTAAGAAATAGCATTTGCAGCAACAGGGCACCAAAATCCAGCTACACTTCACTGTGTCCRGCATACAGAAGCTGAAGCAGGTTGTAGCTAGAATATGAGCAATCTAAATTAGAAAGCAACTCATGTAGTTGTCTGGAATTCCTGCTACTGTAAGAAATATATAACTAGCAAAAAATTTTAAGCTTATCAATATGACAAAAGGTTTTTCAGCAGCCGTATTCTATTAATGCGTAGATGTGCAGAGAATGTACTAGATTCTATTGATTTGATCTAAAATGTGTTTTTAAAGTCACAGTCAGGTCTTGTCCCGATTTCAGCAATATTTCTGGCTTTGCTTACTGTGTGCTGCTGCAGTGTATTTAATCAGTGGGATATCTCAGGTGTTTTCATCTCCTCAGTCTTTCTGTCCCCCAGTTTAATGTGAGTTTTGGGACCAAATTCCCTCCTTGGAAAAGTGATGTGGCTGAAAGTTTCACCATGAGATTAACTTGATCCTGCATCCCATGTCCTGTCAGTGCTGCCTTTGTAGCTGTGTGCTGATGGCAGAGGAGAAGGGCTCTGCAGAGGAAAAGGGCTCTGCAGAGGAAAAGGGCTGCAGGAGTGCAGAAGGGAGCTTGTCTGTGTTTAATGTGAATACAATTTACCTGTAAGTGGATGAAGGACTGAAAAGACAAATAAAAGGCACAAAGGATGAAATCTTTGAGAACATTTTTTGGATTCATATTTAAATAGGAGAGTTCCAAGTAAGAAACACAGCATCCAGCTGCTTAAACTTTTTCAGCATTACCTCTTAATCATCACATTGGCTGGGCTGGATGTATTTCAGCCTGCAAACTGAGAAGTGCTTCTAGATCACAAAAGGTCTTCAGTCTTTAATGACAGCTGTTATGTAAATACAAACTCTTTCTCAGCTAGAAGATGCGAGTTTTGGGACCCAAAGGCGGAAGACAGCTGACAGCCTCAGACAAGGGAGATGCAAACCCCAGCTGTGCACGGCTGCAGCATCCATGAAGGGGCCTTGGGGGAAACAGCAAACAAAACAAAACAAAACAGTGCCTCAGCCCAGATGAACKGGAAGAAATAAGGCACAGATACCTTCTCTCCCTGCCTAGCAGCTATTGGTGTGCTAATTCAAAAGCACTTCTAAAACAAAACAGCATAGGTAGAGAAAAATGGAAGCAGAATTGTCTAAGGGTGCTGCTTGCTCATGAGGAGCTAAGTGGTTTTAGGATTAACTTCTAGGGGCCAACCATCCCATATCTGTCTTTTAAGTATCCTTATAATTTAAGCAGTGGAATGTCATTTAAGTGAAAATTAGGTATCAGTTTAGGCATCAGAGTGTTCACAGTAGAAATTGGTTTAGTTTGTCTCCTGTGTGTTCTCCTAAAAAGTCACCTCCCATTTGCCTTCACATCTAGGAGAGAAATGATCTGTAAAAGAGCACTGTGACCTTTGTTAAGCTAAAGGCTTATAAATATTTTATGTTCTTTACTGCAAAAATTTGTAGATCCATGAGGACAGAAAATGTTTTCTGTCCCAGAGACCCGCTGGCTAAAGTAATCAGTCTTGTTAGGTGGATGTTTCCAGTCCAGACAGACCATAATTGTTTGACCCTGTGGCTTAAGTGAGCTGTAACTCAGGGAGATGATTTCCCAGGGAGTAGAGACTGATTAAAATAAAATTGCTGACACGTGCTGAGTACTTTGGCCAGGAGCTTGTACCACTGCTGCTTTGCAAGCGGCAGTGTGTGAATGGGGTTTTTCTGTGCCACCAAGGTGGCATCTTTTAGAAACGTGAAATCTAAAGCAGAGAATGTAGAAAGTTCCAGCAGCAGCTTTCTTATCTGGTTCTTACCACTTGTGATGTGTGTRATGTACAGATATCCATCTAAAGTAGAAATCGTGCGGGTGACCGGCATCCTGGCAGCTCAAGAATGCATCACTTGTACAGAGAATGCTGAGATGAAATGGCAAAAGTTGTGCCATTTTCTGTAGTATTTTCTTCAGTTCTGAGCTATAAACCCTTTAGAATGAAATAATTTCCTTCTGTGCCCAGCAGAAGCTCTGTGACAGTTTGTTGGAAGTTTTCTGTTCCAGCTTTCAGCTTGCAAAGAATACGCTGGCACCACTAGAAATTCACTTCTCTCCGGCCTCTTAGAGGGTTTAACTTTATAAAGCTCAGCTGAGGTAGCAACCAAAACATTTCTGAATTGACAGCTGAGACCCCRTAAATAAATTATGCTGAGGCACTAATTAAATTATTAATTTTATAAAACTAAATTGTGCTGAGGCTGTAGGAAGTTTTTTTTGTGTACATAAACTCTGCTTTTACAGAGCAGGACATGAATGTGTTTCAGAACTAAGCTAAAGAACGGGATTTCTAAACACCATGAAAAAACTAAGCCATCCCCCAGCTTCATGTRGTTAGCACATTTTGGGAACAGTAACTGAGTTATGATGTTGACAAGCAAAACCTTTTGTTATTTTACCTGAAACACCACTGGCATGGAGCAGCYGGTCAGCAGAGTTTAGTTTATGGAAAGCTGTTGTTGTAGAATGAGATCTGTGTGGAACAGGAAAACAAGACCTGGTGAAGATGCAGCACTGGAGAAATGGCCTGTGTCAGGGGGATGGTGATGGTGGTATTGATAGAATGTGTATTCTGATGAGGTTAAAAGTTAACCAGAATTCAGGCTGGGTCACATGGGAAGTGACAGAAGAGCAGCATCTCAAAGGCAGCCTGTGCAGTGAAGGTGTGACCCTACAGAGCCTGTCCCAGTCAGGATGTGACAGTGGCAGGTGCCTGCCAAGGGGAATGGGATCTCCATCCCAACCGCTTTGGAAAGGCTCTAAAAAATGCATTTGAGCCAGATTGAGGCATGGATGGCAGCTCAGCTCGGTGCTGTTTCCTGCCTGGCCCTTACTCGTGGCTGGTTTTCCCTGCAGGAGAGGACCCCGAGACTCGGCGGTTGCGCACTGTGAAAAACATCGCTGACCTTCGGCAGAACCTGGAGGARACCATGTCCAGCTTACGGGGAACCCAGGTCACTCACAGGTGAGGGCACCTCTCTGTTTGTTAGGAAATAGAAACTTAGGAATGGTTTAGGAGCAGGAAATGTGCTCTTACTCTGCATCTCTTACATCTGGCTGAGTTGCATCCTTAGAAACATTATCAACACTGATAATAGCAGTTTTTGTCTTTAATGCACAGAATTTGAATAATGTTTGCTGGTTTTTGGGATGTATGATGAGGAATTGATAGGATGGGTTGTGTAGTGACTCCAAAGTCGAGAATAATCACTTCTTGTTAAATGTGTGAGGTGATGTTTGAATATAAGTTATAGTTTAAAATGTTTCTTTATCTTACTGAAGTTGAATAACTTAAGTGCAGTACACTCCTCTCCTCCTGTGTGTAATATTCTGTTTAAATAAGAGGTGAACTGTGCTTGACCCACATTATCAAGTGCATAATTTGAATTCCTGACCAAACTCGGGACAAAGAAATTTTTCTAATATTGTTAATCATCCAGCTTTTTCTTCGTAAAGCAGCATTTGTAAATCTTAAGCAATATTTAAAATATGCTGTAAATAAACAAAGATTGCTATTACATTTCAATATTATGTGAGTTAGATCTTTTCAGTGTTGGGAAATTTGGGAGAACAAGCTGTTTGGCCCCTAATGGGGTTGGGGTCCTACCTAATGCTTGGTGCCTTATGTACCCCAGCCCTAAAAGAGTTTATTGAGTTTTGGCTTTGTGTCTAAAACTGCTAAAAGCAGAGTTTGCAAAGATGAACTCCCAAAACTATTTTTCTTTGTGAATTTCAATTGATGTGRCAGCTCTTCATGGCTTAATTACAAYAACCGGAGAATRCGGAGGTTTTTGCAGTTTACATGTAACATTGTATTGAGAATGGTACAATGCTGTTTATTTTAAAAATATCCACAATAAATTGTAAAAAAGTGGCACTTAGTTGAGCAGGAAAGGAAGAGTTCATGTGGGTAAGAGAAGTTGCAGCYATGGATTAGCTGCAATTCAGCTATGAGAATTCAGGGTGTAGTCTTGCAGTCCGTACACATCCCGTGCAAACTCACGGTGTGGTCCCATTTTTAGGGTTTCATGTGTAAGTATTGCCAATATATTTTAAATATATACTCAGTTCATGAATAGATGAGTCATTTTTTGTTTTTCCTGGGTTTACTCCTATGTTTGAGTATCTTCAAAGAAATTCATAGTTCTTTATTGGTTTGTTAATATGCAAAATATATTTTGAAGAAAAAAAAAATTTGGCCTGCCTTCGTATACTTTTCATTTAATCCTCTCTGTGGTATAGAAATAGCTTCTATCTTGGCGCTGGACACATCACCAGAGTTAAGAATTTTTCATGGGTGCAGACAAAAATAGAAAATACATCAGACAAACAGCAGGTTTGCCTTTAGGCAGCTTATYCCCCTCCCTCGCCTGGGCTGGCTAAACCATGGTGTAATGGAGTTACAAGTGCTCGAAGATGAGAAAGTTACACTTTGATGCTGTGGATAATCATTCAATTTAGTCATCTCAGGTGTGGGTGGAGCACCTGGTGGCCTGGGTGTAAGGTTTTTAAGAACATGAGGAAGGACCCAAAAAGTGAAAAGGCGGGATCTCTCCAAGTGTTGTAGCGGTGAATTGTGTGCAGAGTCTGTAACTCGGTGAGYGTCCGGGATCGCCGGAATCTCACAGCATCCCCGTGACAGCCGCATTCCCATCTCTGCTTCCAGCACCCTGGAGACCACGTTYGACACCACGGTCACCACGGAGATCAGCGGCCGCAGCATCCTCAGCCTGACGGGCCGGCCCACGCCGCTGTCCTGGCGCCTGGGCCAGTCCAGCCCGCGGCTGCAGGCGGGCGACGCGCCGTCCGTGGGCAACGGCTACCCCGCGCGCGGGAGTGCCGGCCGCTTCCCCGGCACCGAGCCCAACGCCGGCCGCTACCTGTACCCGGCCCCGCTGCGGCGCCAGCTGGCCACGCGCGGCCACGGTGACATCGGTGACAGGGCCGGAGACGACATTGACCTCCCGGGAGTGGCCATGGACGCCACRGGCTACATGAGCGACGGCGACGTGCTGGGCAAGAACATCAGGGCTGACGACATCACCAGCGGGTGAGCGGAGTGAGCGCTGCGCAGGGGGCTCGCTGGGGCGGGGAGGGAGTGGAATATTGGTTACAACCGAAACCTGGGGCCATTCTCCCATTGGGACAGGGAGGGAGCTCAAATATTGGTTACAGCCAGAACTCGGTGTGTTCTTCCATTGGGGCATGGAGGGAGTGGAATATTGGTTACAGCCAGAACTCAGGGTTGTTCTTCCATTGGGGCAGGGAGGGAGTGGAATATTGGTTACAGCCAGAACTTGGGGCAGGGGAGAGAGGTGGAATATTGGTTACAGCCAGAACTCAGGGCTGTTCTTCCATTGGGACAGGGAGGGAGCTCAAATATTGATTACAGCCAAAACCTGATGCTGTTCTTCCATCGCGGCGGGGGAGAGAGCTGAAATATTGGTTACAGCCAGAACTTAGGACTGATCTTCCATTGGGGCAGGGAGGGAGCTGAAACATGGTCACAGCTGAAACTTGGGGCCGTTCTTCCATTTGGGCAGGGAGGAAGATGGAATATTGGTTATAATCAGAGCTTGGGGCAGGGAGGAAGCCGAAATATCAGTTACAGCCAGAACTTGAGGCTGTTCTTCCATTGGGGTAGGGAGCCCAAATACCAGTTACAGCAAGAGCTTGGGGCTGTTCTTCCATTGGGGCAGGGAGGGAGTTGAATATCAGTTACAGCAAGAACTTGGGGCCGTTCTTCTGCTGGGGCAGAGAGTGATCTGAAATACCAGTTATAGCCAGAATTCAGGGCCGTTCTTCCATTGGGGCAGGGAGGGAGCTGAAACATGGGTTACAGCCAGAACTTGGGGCAGGAGAGGGAGCCAAAATACCGGTTACAGCTAGAACTTGGGGCTGTTCTTCGTTGTGGCCATGATGCTGTGTTTCCGTGATTAGCTGGAGAAATGGTAAAAGCTTTTTGGTTGGTGTTAGAATTTTGAGGCAGACACGGTTACGGGGATAAAAGGGTTTCATTTTGGTATTTAATGGGATCCTGGGGGCACAGCTCTTCAAGGTGGAACACGCCGAGATGCACCCCAATATAACACAGATTCAATTTTATAGACCTCACAAATCAGCATTTCTGTCTAGAATCCCCCAATAAGGACCTTACCAAATGCAGTAATGTCCCCCTATTCTAAAGAACCCCCACCTCAGATGAGGCCAGAGCCCATTCACACAATGTGTTCCAGACAGAAGGTTTCAGCCAAGGTTGRACCCTCGAGTTTTGAGACAGCCCAGGGCTCACCCTACTGGGGATGTTTGGTCTTTCTGCCCAGCAGGACCCCAAAACTGAGCTAGAATATAAAAAATTGCAAGCATGTAGGCTAAGGGTGCAAAGAACATGAAAAGGATACAGAAAATATCTAAAAGGATATATAAAATGTATAAAAGGGTGTATAAAAAGTCAAAAATTGTCAGGCATCAGCCAACTCCGAAGATAGTCTGCTCATTTCAGTTCTCTCTTTCGGAGAGACAGCTCACTACCATGGAAGGATTTAAGCAAAATTCGAGTTTGAAGTGCACGTTATGAAAATATCCCTAGATATGAAGATATTCTTTCACGTGGTTCAGTGTTTTCCTGAGTCGAGGCTCGCTGTGGTTGCAGCATTCATTTGTGCCCACGAGATGGGAGGAGTGAGGTGTTTTTTGGACCTGACTGAACTCTTGGTGTCTGAGCTTTGAGGGGCCAGCTCAGTGGAAGGAAGTGAATTTGCATCTCTGTGTTAGGTGTAATAGTGGTACATGCTAAATAAATTTTAAAGAACAAGTCAGTGTGCAGAARTATGAAGTGATAGACAGTTACTAGCAAGGTTTTACATTTTGTCTCTGCCTTGAATGGAAAAAGCATTTGTTCTTTGTTCCAAAGACTCAGTTCAATTCAACATGTCTGTTTTCAGTGACTATAAAATACWGTCATTTTTTCTTAGCATTGGATTGATGTTAAAATTGATCTCTGAGATTTAAATGGCTTTTTTTTTCCTGTGGCAGCCCTGGCCATCTTGCATCCTTTACTTTTTTGTAATTTTTCTTTTATTAGTGACATTTCTTGTGTTGGCTTTTTTTGGAAGATGTAGTGTCCCTTACTGGAATCCAGCTGCTGCTTTGTCATTTCTTCAACCAGTTCAGTGACACCATCTGAAAACCTCCATTAATTCTGTCAGTTATGAATATTTGGATATTTTCAAAGTCAGGCAATTTCTTTTTAAAGCTTCATTAGGGAAGCATATAGTAAAGGGGCTGATGCAAAAAAAAACCCAGCATAAAATTCTGTTTCAGATAAAGCACCAGTAGCTGTTGCTGCATTAATAATGCATTGAGTATCTAAAGCACCTTGTGTTTCCCTCAAATAAATCAACTTGCACCTGGATTTTRTAATGTTTATTGTAGTAACAGTTCCTGCTTCTCCTCTGGACCATGAATTCAGTTCAAACTTGTGGCTGTGGTTTTGATTTGGAAGTGAGGAAAGTAAATTCTARGTAGCACCATGGTTTCTATAAAACACCTCAAGTAGTAGTTGAGAATTACCCTTGCAGAATTGTGTCAGCTCAGGCTTCTGCTGCTCACAGAGGAGCCCAGTCTTTTCAGATCTTTCTTTAGTGTATAAAACTCACATTCCAGCTTGAGGAAAAGGAAAGAATAGAAAAGCTGTCAAATTATGGATGGTATTGCCAGAGAAATCTGTGCTTTCACTCATCCCTGTGCATCGTTTCCTTTTCTGTGTCTGGTCATCCTGCAAGGGAAGAAAATTGAGTCTCCACAGTCTGAAAGTGCGAGAGAGGTCGTAGATTCTGGGCAATAAAATGGTTTTGCTGGTTGGTGCCACCATCACCAAAGCGATGAGTTACACACCAAGAATGATGGATGCAGCAGAGGAGTCATTCCCTCCACCTCACCCACCCCCAGCCTGGAGTGTTGGGATGTTTTTCACTGAGCATCTCACTCTGTTTCCCCCACAAGCCTTTAAAGGAGGGAGGGAGCTTTTACTCTTTATTCATGCAATTGCCACATGCAATAAATGTGACCTCAGTTTAAGTTTCTCGGGACAAAAGCATGTACATGTTTTTTTTTCTTTTCCACATCTTTTGCCTTTAGCTACAAAAGCCTGTTTATTTGGATAGTATGGGTTGGTTTATTGATTCATATAGCACTCTTGGAGCCATTGACTAAATTCCAAGGACAGAATGGGTATTGGAGGTCGCTGTTGGAAAGATCCCGCCCTGTTTGTGGGCAGGGTTTGGAGATGGGCAGTTTTGGGATCCTCTCCTCTCCTTGCTGTCCTGGTGGGCATTGGGAGGGAACATTGCTGGACTCCCTGAGMAGGGAATATTGTGGTATTAAATTGCAATAACAGCTTCCCAGCATTAACGGAGAAGGATAAAAAAATGAGGGTGCTACCTTTGGTGACACCTGCTGACRCTGGGTTGCCATCTCCAGTGTGAGCAGATGCTGGATAACCTGTCCCATTAGTTACCACCCCTAATGTCTGTTTAATTCCAACAGTACAAAACCAGGAAAGCACTGGCTGTTTGTGGGAGAGGAATAATAAACTGCTCCAAAATTGGAAGGGCTGCTTGAGAAGGAAACATCCTCGTGACTTGCTGCAGAACAAATCACCGAGATCGGTGGCAGGGCAAACAGKCTCCACATTTCCAGGAGCTGAGCTACACTGTGTGGAGAGCAGCACAAGAGGGTATTTAGAGCATGAATAGCTCTTTATTAGCCAGTATGTGTTTCACTTTGTCATTTTGCAGAATTGCTGCAATCCCGGAGTCTGAAAACTTGGATCTGTGTTTTGCTTGGCAAACCGATAGGGAAGGAAGCCAAAATATTTGTTACAGCCCAAATAAACCCAATGGCCAAGAAAAACGAGTTTAGCCGTGTGATGCCGGTGCTTTCTCTGAACTGCTCTGGGTCATGGGAAGTTTCCTTTGGCCTCCCCTCAGGGTCTGCTCCGGCAGGGCTCTGGCACACACCACCCTTGCTTTCTTAGGGTTAGGGAGAGTCTTTGCCAAAGGGCTGGAGAGCAGCTCTCAAGGCAAGCGAGCCTCCAGGGGGAGGATTAGAGCCAAGGAGCTGCTCTGCTCTGCTGCAGGAACTGAACCTTTGCTGCAGCCTCACAGCCCCATGGAAAGCAGCACCTCAGAGCCCAGAACTGTCTCACCTCACTACCCCAAAGGTTGTCCCAGGTGGGGGTGTTCATTCTCCTTTTTTTTTGTTTCCCTAGCCCCTGTGTTTTCTAATGAGATGTAGAGTTAATTTCCTTTTAATCTCTCACTGGAATGCAGCAACAGGGCTRTTGGTCAGAAAAAGRAAAAAAAAAAGCCTTTTGTAATTATTTTCTTTTCATTTAATTAATCCTCAGTCTCTGTTTTGATTACCTTAAATGTGCAGCTTTCTGTGCAGAMTTCACAGCGTGGATGTACTGATTAGTGCTGGTCACAAGTTTTCTCAGGAAATGGCTGTGGGTCTGCRAACACACCTTTGTCAAAATCATGTTTTGCAGAAGCGTGGCTGTTCCAGCTGTGTCCCAGMAATGGTCAGGGGCACTGTGCTAAAATCCTCCTGGCAGCCACCTCCCCTGAGTGCAGTGATTGTTGTTGGGGGGGGTACATGTTACCATTCTATTAACCTCCCCATATCTGATGATTTGGTGGTGATGTATTCCCATTGCACATCCCTATTTCCACAACCTCTTAATGTGTTTGTGTGCACAAACCTCATGGGGTTACMATTCCTTCTTTTTTATTCAAACCTTTATGCTCCCTGGGGATCTTTTTACAAGCACTGGAGGCAGTTGAATTTGGAATGTGAATGAAGGATGACAAAAGGGAGAGCAGGTCACTCTGGAGTGGGAAATCGAACTCAGGTTTGTCAAACCCACCCAGGAGCACTGTGCCCTKCATGGACCAAATCCATATACAGGCTTTTCTGACCTGTTTCTTCCCCTGCTTATTCCCACTGTATTTTTCCTGTAGTTACAATGTGTTCCTCATTTACTGGACA